GTGTGTGTGTTGTGTGTGTGGTGCGTGTGTGCGTGTGTGTGTGCGTGCGTGCGCGCGCGCGTGCGCGCGCGCGCGCGCGCGCGCGCGCGTATTTAACGCGCGCGCGCGCGCGCGTGCGCGCGCGCGCGCGACGCGCGCGCGCGCGTGCGTGTGTGTGTGTGTGTGTGTGTGTGTGTGTGTGTGTGTGTGTGTGTGTGGAAGAGAGAGAGAGAGAGAGAGAGAGAGGAGAGAGAGGGAGAGAGAGTTGAAATGAAAATTGATAAAAATCAATACAGGGACTATTTGTGTACCTTCTCATTAACAACATCCCGTCAGATACATATAAGTAAATACGACACCGTGGCAACAAAGATTATAATTACTTACTGTAATATGTAAATATATCTTATTACTTATTTCTACACTGTACATTTGATTTATCTAGCTACTGGAAGCAGTCAATAACATACCTGTAATCATCAACTGTATTCTTGTACACAAAAATCTGCTCTTGGGAGCAACATACAATTTTCCTCAGAATACAATACTTTTTTTTCTAAATATTAAAAGCATATAACATCTCAAATTTGCTCCTCACAATAAATATGATAATTTTTTAAAAAATGAGTAAAAACCAGTATCTTTTTTTATATCAAGTTCAGAAAAATCTATTTCTTAATTTTCTACAATTAACATTGAAATATTTTCAGAATTGCAGGTTGTAATTTTGAAGCATAAATTTCATCAATTGCAACCGTCAAATGCTTGTTATACATATACATTTTAAAATTTCCAACAATTGTATACACTCAGAGTGGTGAATGTAAACAGTGACAGAAGAAATAAACACATATTCGAACAATAAGTGATGAATAATGGGTGACAAAATGTTTGACACTAGAACAACAATTCTATAAATATTTAGGGTTAGTCAAACACATACATGTGTCGCAATATGAAAATATGACAAAAATATATTCAGTAGTCATGTCCTGTTACACATCCTCTGACGCGTGTACCGGAATACAGGTTATGTAGCAACAAATTGATTTATTGCTTTTAAATCTGCTTTCTAAATTCAAACCTTTTAAAAACTCCCCATCAGAAAAAAATCATTGTTTGATTCTTTTTTAATTCTCAGAGGAGTACGTCCTCATTACGCGAAAAAGTGGAGTTAACGAAATTCTACAGTCCGCGAAATTTCATTGTCAACTCAAAGTCACACGTTTCACGTCCTTACGTATTGGGAAAAACACTTGTGCATACGACTGGTAGTAGGGGTGCACAGTCTACAATCAATTATGTGTGTCAGATTAAGTTTGCTGTTCAGACAATTTGTAACCATGAGTAATTGGAGAAACATATATATCATACCATTCAAGTTCGAAAACACACATAAATTCTTTATTTGAATGTTATTTCAAAGGAGTGTCATTTATCCTGCCACGTTTAATTGGAAATATATATATATATATAAACCTATTCTTCTTATCTCTTCCATCTTAATAAACAATTGTTTATAAATAAATGGTATAATGGTAACATAAACACATCGAATCCCAAAGATTGTAAAAAAAATACACAAGAGAAAAACAAATTTCAATACAAATTAGAGTTAGATACAAAAGAGCCAAACAATGAATTAAGCTGCAACATACAACTGTTTCGTCCTTTTAGGACTTATCTGTGATGTTACATCATACAGCTGTTTCGTCCTTTTAAGACTTATCTGTGATGTTACATCATACAGCTGTTTCGTCCTTTTAGGACTTATCTGTGATGTTACATCATACAGCTGTTTCGTCCTTTTAGGACTTATCTGTGATGTTACATCATACAGCTGTTTCGTCCTTTTAAGACTTATCTGTGATGTTACATCATACAGCTGTTTCGTCCTTTTAAGACTTATCTGTGATGTTACATCATACAGCTATTTCGTCATTCTGGGACTCATCAGTGATGTTACATCATACAGCTGTTTCGTCCTTCTAGGACTCATCAGTGATGTTACATCATACAGCTGTTTCGTCCTTTTAGGACTTATCTGTGATGTTACATCATACAGCTGATTCGTCATTTTAGGACTTATCTGTGATGTTACATCATACAGCTGATTCGTCATTTTAGGACTTATCTGTGATGTTACAACATACAGCTGTTTCGTCCTTTTAAGACTTATCTGTGATGTTACATCATACAACTGTTTCGTCCTTTTAAGACTTATCTGTGATGTTACATCATATAACTGTTTCGTCCTTTTAAGACTTATCTGTGATGTTACATCATACAACTGTTTCGTCCTTTTAAGACTTATCTGTGATGTTACATCATACAGCTGATTCGTCATTTTAGGACTTATCTGTGATGTTACAACATATAACTGTTTCGTCCTTTTAAGACTTATCTGTGATGTTACATCATACAGCTGTTTCGTCCTTTTAAGACTTATCTGTGATGTTACATCATACAGCTGTTTCGTCCTTCTGGGACTCATCAGTGATGCTACATCATACAGCTGTTTCGTCCTTTTAGGACTTACCTGTGATGTTACATCATACAGCTGTTTCGTCCTTTTAAGACTTATCTGTGATGTTACATCATACAGCTATTTCGTCCTTCTGGGACTCATCCGTGATGCTACATCATACAGCTGTTTCGTCCTTTTAGGACTTATCTGTGATGTTACATCATACAGCTGTTTCGTCCTTCTGTGACTCATCAGTGATGCTACATCATACAGCTGTTTCGTCCTTCTAGGACTCATCAGTGATGTTACATTATACAGCTGTTTCGTCCTTCTGGGACTCATCAGTGATGTTACATCATACAGCTGTTTCGTCCTTCCACCACATGTCAGTGATATTACATTATAAAGGTGTTCGTTCTTCTAGGACTCAAAAGGGATGCAAAGGACCTAAAATTTTAAACATAAGAGACGACTGTGGAAAACAGAAATTGATCTAGAGAAATGTCAAGTCCTAGATAAGGAGGTGCAACAAGCAGATAATTCAATCAACTTTGCAAGGTCATATATCTATAATAGAAACGTGACAGGTTACGGCAAACCTCTGGAACTTTGCGATGTGATACGTTATTTTAATTGTCACCGTGTAAAATTCGTCTACCACTTTTCCAGTGATATAAGTTCGGAGACCGCTCCAAAACCTGTTACAGATAGCTGCGTTAAGTAATATTAGGAAATTTCTTGTTTTCTTTAATAACTGGACATGGCGTGCATTGAACGCACACCATCGGGTTGCAATTTATACAGTTTGTTTTTGAACTCATACCAGTGTTGTCAGCAATAAAACCTCGTATTACATAATATAAGGCTGTCTACATGTGTTATATTCGAAAAAAATTTAAATCAAACTAAAGGTGTTCTGAGCGAGTCTTTACAACATTGCATTATCTCGTATGATAACTTGATATGATTAATACAGGGACAAGCATAATTCTTATTGCTAATACCAAGCGAAACATGGCTCTTGCCAGACTGACAAACTATTACATCGTAACGTTACATGGATACTGCCCCCCCCCCCAAAAAAAAAAAAAAAAAAATGAGAAAGAAAAGTAAAAGAAATACAGTTTTACAGTCAGTTTGACTCTGCATTATTAATATTGGATTGCTAAGATCTATAAATATATATAATGTTTAGCAATTAAAAACCTTTGCCCTAAACCTTCACCCAAGTCGTCCATCGCTTCTGTTGCCAGGTCAGTATTGGTGTATTATAGGCAATCGGTTTAAACACAGATAAATAATATTGGGAAGATAAGGAACATCATTTAGTTAATAGGATTTTACTATCATAAAACATGCCCCCTCAAAAAAAAAAAAACCCAGCAACAAAAACAAAAACAAACAAACAAACAAAAAACATCATTGACAAAACAAGAAAGATGAATTAGATTCAGCGTAACCAAATATTTAATTACATTGCAGAACAAATTTGTTAAAGAACTAAAAAAGTTTAAACCATGATATTTAGTGAATATTGGAAGAAAGACTTCTAGATCTGTTTCATACTCTTAAACTCCAACAAATTGTTACACTTGTATCAAAATTAATATCTGTATTCGGAAAGAAGCGTCCGATATTAAGTGAAACCTGACAGTTCCAACACCTGACAAATCGTGTAGATAGACATTGCATGCTCTCTGAAAAAATTCGACATGTGACATAGTCGAGGTTGTGGTACTTCGTTGTACGAGTTCATAAAGGGTTTACAATATGTTTATATATAATTATGTTGTAGATATTTCTGTTGGTTATTAAGTCTGGAGAAAGTGAGTGTAGCCATAAATAAAAAAAAATGAAATGATTTACTTTTGTTTTTACAAAAAAAGGTAAATACATATCGCTTAATTCTAGAGTCAATATGAAGGCTGGAGGACAGCACCACTGTTACACGTGTATACACTTCAATATATAGTGTTATCCAGCCGCTGTAACACACTGTCCACGGGGTTCTGAAACGAGGTCAAGTGGAAAACATATTCTACATTCATATTGAATTACACGCTAATGGAAATATAGCCTAGATGTTAAATAACGCATGCAGCATGGGGTTGGTGTAGGTGTTGCTAGGGAAAGGGGAATGGATGAAACCTGGGACAAACAGCGTGTCTGGGATCTGGGATATGACAGTGTGGCTTGGACCTAATATACATACACATGTACATCTAATAACGGATTAAAGTAGAAATAAAATCGAGAAAACATCACAAGCTTTGCAGAGAGACATATTTGAAGTATAGAAATCCAAAGGTACAGATTTGAAAGCTGACGATCAACAGCGGAACTTAAAGTCATTGAACTGTAACATTAGTCTTGACCAATCATTAAAGAGTTGGATCACAGGAACTCGACTACAATTTAAGTTTGAAAAGATACCAAAAATAATCCTGGTTAGTCCAGAAGTTACTACGTGCCGTCTGCAGCACACTCCACACACATACGCTGTTGACTAGCGTGAGACGTTCACCACACGGCTTGTAGCTCACAGCTGTGAAATAGACATGACGACATCGAAGTGTTAGCAAAGTAATCTGATAAATGATGTGATTCCAGATAGCATGGATGGTAAATAACTCCTTAACGAGATTATGTAATAACTAATCGATTTTAATGTGAGTGCGAATGTGTATATATGAATGAATCTTGTGTAATCACACGTGCAAAAGAAAACAGTTATAAATAGCCACGTCACCATTCGGGAGCACTCGGATAGATAGGATTCAGATACAAGGTACTGTAAACGTTAAATGTTTGGAGACATGAATCTTGTAACACTGGTTTTGCTGCAGATATTTGTCACGTCATTGTGTGATGATTTACAAACTTCAATCAATTCCCATGTGGATACTTTTCAACAGAGGGGGGCCCCGGGACTCCGGGCTCCTAAGAAACTATGGTGGGCAAAAGAGATAACGCCCGACTTCCACGTTGCTGGAAGATTGTCTGAACGACAGATCAAATACGCAGCCGATGGGGGATTTAAAAGTATTGTCTCATTGTTCCAAGATGACTATCCATCTAATATTGGCGATGAATATCTACCGACGAGTGCGGAGGCAGCCGAAATCGCCAAACAAGCAGGACTTGATTATCGGGTCATATTGGATTCTGATAACTGTGATTGGGCCTCCGCTGAGGCTGTAAGTAAAATGGCTACCATAGTTCCAACACTTAATAAGCCCATTTTACTCCATTGTAACCGTGCCTATACAATAACGTTTGTGACTATGCTGTATATAGCCAATACGTCAAGACACGATCAGAAATACATACCTCAAGTTAATTTTGAAAAAGTTTATAAGATGGCCGCCGCAATGGGCTTAGATTTCATAATGGACTTTACCCAAGAGACTGCGGCAAAAATCACCGGCGAAGCAATTCCAGAGAATTTACCAGAACCTAATGTTGTACCAGATGAATGGTATGATTACTGGTTGGCACATCCTGTGTACAAGAACTGGTTCACGGCTGGACAAATACGCGAAAATCAACTCGAGACTTTAAAAATGGCTGGCTTTATCCACGTGGTCAACATGAGAATGGGTGTTCATGATGAAAACGGAAATCCTTCCCAAGAGCAGGTAACTCTCATCAACGTCAAAGATGGAACACCGACCTACGGCAATAAAGAAATTGGCCCACGACAAATTCCGGATACTTTGAAGAAACTTGTTATTAACCCATTAAGAAACAATTCATTTGTGGCCGAGAATTCGGCAGTGAACTTCGAGTCGAGAAATCCAGGAGAGTTCGGGGACGAGATTGGATATAACGAAGACCGGGAAAGACAGGTTCTAGAAAAGGCTGGTTTTCATTATTATCACATGCCAGTCCGTAAGTACTTACTGTAATGCTGTAGTTCTAAAGCTATTGTCGTCCATTATCATGCAATACATTCGTGACTGTACGTGAGCTTCGTGTTGCTGAGGAACATTTTATTACATTTTTCGCAGTTAGTTGTATTTCGGATCGTAAATTTCATATGTTCGTAACAAGTCTTAGAAGATTTTATTTCTGCGAGCTGAAGCGTACGAAGTGAAATATGTAGTTACAACAATGTATAATTACATTTTGATGACGGTACAAAAACGTAAATAACAGTCCTTATATTTACATTTGATACCTACAGATTTATACCAATTACAAATATAATGTAACATTTCATTTGGATGTCTTTTCATATTAAACCACGTTTATATAATATTTGAGATACTAGCAAACATCGCGCGGTATATTCATGGTAATCCTAATCGCCACGTGCAAAGGTATTTATAAATATCTAGAGACAACACAACACCAGTATGAATATTAAAAAGAACAGATGGGTTACGTAAGATTGTTTCCGTAATGACGTCATGTGTGTTCGAAATAAAAAAAAAGTTGTTTGTCAGAGTGAATTTGTGAATTAGATTTTTTTCTTCAAATACATGAATGATGTGTATGTTATTACCATGTAATAATAGTCAAACATGTTTAAAAACGTCGTTTTCATGTTGAAATATCAAATGGTACCTCAAAGTAATTCGTCTTTAGAAATAAATCTCCTTTTAATCTGATACATTGTTAGATACTAACAGTAAAATGCCTTCCTTGCTAGGTGAGAGAAAATATCTGCGGAGTGAAAACAGTACACCGTGACAGCCTTCCGTACTGAAGGGTCTTTCGTCATCACCCAATAATATCCTTTATCATCGTCATTCTGGGCCTAGGTCTCCCTCTATGTCTTCGTTTCATCTTGGTTGTGATTGTGTGACTACATGGATCTAATCAATGGCCGATCCTTTATAATTTGTTTGATTTTTGTTCGAAAAAAAGTTCTGAATGATGAGGTATTTTTCATTTTATATAGTGGTGGTAAAATTTTGCGAAATGAAAATTAGTGTTTAATTCCATTCAAAAAGGGGTCAAATTGATTCGGATTTCAAAAATCTTCTTCTCAACACCCAGGTGTGATAGAATCAAATACTCTGTATGGATGGAAGTATCTTCAGAAACTTTAATTACTTAAATGGGTCTCACATTTCTTCCTGGTTTTTTTTTTTAAACTTTACGGGTAATTTCCTTAGAAATTTGCAATTTTTGTGCATAACATTGTTTATTTCCCACTGGAAATAACTTTACATGAATTATTAGTATAGGATGACAGTTTTGATGGTATGCATGTACTGACACTGGCTTACTATCACCAATGTCATGATTTCTTTTTCGAGACACTTGATAACTACACTTTAACCTTTATATTCAATATTGCTTATCTCAGATGACCGTCAAGGCTGCTAGGCCTCTTGTTTTTTTTTCTCTGTGGGAAATTTGTGTTATAATAAAGCAGAAAACAAGATTTTAGATAACAGTGACCACCTGTAGTGATTAACTGGACTTTTTTACAGGAGCTGTTTTCAAATGGATATGTCCGGCCACACTTTTTTGGATTTCTTTCGTGTATAAGAATGTATACACATTTCATGTGATTTCATTTCACCCTTTCACATCTATTTTCAGTGTCTGGTGGAAAGTTCAGTCCGGAGTTATTTGGGAAATACAAAGATAAACTATTAGAGATCGGAAGAACAGGAGAACCCATCCTGGTCCACTGTGCTAGCGCCCACAGAGTGGGTAAGTAAGGCTATAGGATAAGTTATTCATAAATCTAAATCACAGAGTTGGTAAGAATACCACTGAAAACCTGTCTTCAGCAGCCAGTTCTCTACATATTGAATCACAGAGTTGGTAATATTGAATCACAGAGTGGGTACAAATACCACTGAGAATCTGTCTATAACAGCCAGTTCTTTACATATTGAATCACAGAGTGGGTAAGAATACCACTGAGAACCTGTCTATAACAGCCAGTTCTTTACAGATCTAAATCACAGTGTGGGTAAGTATACATTTGGCAATTAAGTCCATAGTCATTTGTAGACCTAATTACAGCATAGTTTTCAATAGATGTCATTGTTGTCATTTCAGTCTATAAAATGTTCATATCACATCACAGATCATATTCCAACAAATCTGAATATAAGTGCACATTTTACTGTAAGGTTGATTGTCTTTGTGAGATCGCTCGTCTTTTGATGCCAACTGTCTCTCATCTTCACAAGCCAAGGGTGTCCTATACGATAATCCTCTGAAAGCGAGCATAACCCCGGGCAGATTGAGATTTGCAGAAGTCTTTTATTTGTCAACTGTCTGTGGAAGTGGCCAGTACGGAGAGGTCAACTGCATTTAGAGGTCACGTTTTATTTAAGTCAATAGTCTTTGAAGGTGACATGACTAAATAGGTCTTTACTTGTAGAGGTTACTTGTTTGTAAGAGTCACCTCTATATGACGGTCACCTGTCTGGAGAGACCGCCATCGGTATAGGTACATATGTAAGCCGTCATAGAAGCACGTGTAAATTGGAATCACTTTTCGAATTCAAAAACCTGATCATAGCGGTAACATATGTTCTAAAAAGAGGTCAAATCACAGGTATGATATATGATATTTATCTATATGATGTATGGCATTGCTACTGTGTAACATCACCGAAGTTAAATCTCTATAAAATGACTTATCCTTATAGCATTGTAGATAATGTAGAATAGATACCAAAGTGTCAACATATCATTGCCTGAATCAAACTTAATAAAATGAGAGCAAAATATAAAAAAAAGACAAATTTACATGGATAACCATGTAAAAAATACAAGGAGAATAAGACCAGGTGTTCTGGAAGGGTACGCGTTTCTGATTCATCGACGATACCTTGTCATGTAAATCTGGCAATTCCTTGACATTATATATATGGAAACAACTTATTTCATACATCTGATATATACAGCAATCGATAATTTCTAATTTGCTTTCACAGTGTGTTGATGCTATGTCCCCTTTCACTTATATTGGGCATGGCTTTTTGTTGTAACTTAACATTGTCTCTTTATAATTTACAGCCTACATGACGGTGCTGGCCGCCGCCCTGCAGTATAATAAGGACTTGGACTGGGCCCTTCAGAGGACTCGCGAGCTCGGTTTTGTAGTGAGCCCAACAGAGCACAAAGATGTCTTCCTCATGTACACAGCCTGGTTACGACTTAAAAATTTCAACTCTTCTAAAGACGAACTGTGATCACCTTTGTAAAATTTCTTTCTATCGTTAACTGATGATGTAAACTAATTATATGAGTTTTGTGTCAATTACTGAGAGTATGAAAAATATTAATATCCTTCAATACTTAAAATGATTTACTAATCCAAACGATATACAATGTTTCACAATCGTTTGATCATTTTGAATTTTTATCATTATTTTCAATATTATTCGCATATTTTCAATCAATATTTCATTTGATTTAACGATTTTGTGAATGAATGTTTAATGTACATGTACATATAAATCTATATTTTTATACATTGAATACCTTATTGAAGGATGAGCAAGGTGATAATTTGATAACTTCTATATATTCCAATGATAAGTTTTAAATTCCGTATCATGATAAGATAGGAAAAAACAATGCTTGAAATAGGTATTGTACATAAAATGTGTGTTATTTTATAAATCAAATTATTTTACTTTGTATTCCTTTTATTAGCAATGATTACCCGCTTTATAGCACGGCTGCTTTTATTTTTTCTTTAGACTGAATGAATGATATTTGTAGACCGGAAGTAGCAATAACTTAAAATGTGTTCTCCCAGACAGAACGTTTCGAACGCATTTTCGCCAGGGCTGATGCGTCATGGTATTAGAATTTACATTAAAATGCACAAGTGGTTTGTCCTCAATGTGATTCCATCATTAAACAAATTCCCTGTCACGTGCAAATTTCTATGTAAGATCTTTAACTCAGATATTCCACATGCTACCTCTTATGAACATGTGGTATCCATTTATATTGATTTGAAAAAAATACATGATGCACAACGTAGATTTTAGGAGAATATAAGATATCAAATACAACTTTCACTTCCGATTTGTTATGAATTTTAAGTTCTGGTGGAGTATTTGTATGAAATGCAGTACGAGTTTTCTCCCTTGTTTAATAAAAGGAACTGTTGTTAAGCGAGAATGTTCATGTATTGATGATAAAAATTATTTAATACGCATATCAGTCTTGTGGAGTTATATCATAAATGAAAATTAGTATTAACGTAAAATCAGAATTACGATAGATCAATATTTATTTAAACTTTATGCTTAATCCATTATGGGGATACCAAACGCACTAAAAAAAACAATTTCACCTCCATGTCATTTGTCGTTATGTTTACGTATTAGCTCCTCTTATACCTTAACATATTCTACATCTTTATATACATGTAACAGACGTAATGATGTTTATTTGACCTGCCCGGAGAGCAAGTGAGCTTATTTCGTGGTGCTGCCTTCGTTGTCTGTCCGTCCGTCCGTCGTTAATTTTTCGTTTTAATAACTTCTCTATTACCGAAATCATTACGACACATGTGCTGATATTTGTCCTGTAATAAGCTGAGATAAAGTGCTACTAAGTTCATTAAAATTGTGAAATAGCATATTTTCACAGGGTTCAAATGTATTATGTGATTTTCCTCACTTACTAGAAAGTTCATAGAAATGATATTCGGTCTGTAGTATGCTGGTATAAACAGAGACTACGCTGAAATGAAGGGGTGCCAAGTTTGAATGAATTAAATTATATTGACAGACCTTCAAGGTCACAGGGGTCAAATATGTTAAATTTTAAACAACTTTTCCACAATGAAAAGGCACAGGGCGCTGATGTAAGGTCAGTAATATCCTGGGGTCAATTGCGACCAAATTTGTTCAAATCAATGTCCTTGACATACTTTTAGGGTGACAAGGGCCAAATGTATTACTATCATCTCCAACAATTGATATCTGGCATTATATTTGTATGGTAGCTTGGGAAATGGGCTTTGAGATTTGCAGAAAATGACTTAATGAACCGACAATAACTTAAGAGCAGGTGATTCGGGCCCCTTGGACCCCTTGTTTAAAATGATATCAGAAATAAGAATATAACTATCGCATGGTTATCAGATTGTATTCTTTGTCAATATGAATGCAATCTGGATGACTAAATAATCAAAAGCTACACAGAGTCTGTAAGCATGTGAATGTATGGCAGAGGAATGGATAGTATAAGATTCTCTTTTTAGAAAAAATAAGCTTAAGTGACATTTTAAACAAAATAACTATTTTTTAACAAAACTTTATCGTCTATAGATGAAAACACGTGATAATAAACAAAAATCTGCCTTTTGTTTTAAAATCACCGTCACGTTTTCCTAAAATATTGGAATTTTGTCATATCTCTGTTTACACAAGAAAGTCAACCTAATACAGATTGTACGGCCCACGTGATGAAATAGAGGAAACAATGTTTTGGTCCTTGTGTATACACTTGTGAGAGTTTGTATAAAAATCATTTACCACAAACACGGATTTTTGTAACTAAAAGCCATTGTCTATTTATTTATTTATTTATTTTATACTACAAGATGTCGGAATTGCATTGATACGGCAAATTTATATAAACATAAAAGAGATAAATATTTACAAATAATGTACCCGTAACACCAGGATCTGATTCAAGTTAATCATTCACGCCGCTCATAAACAATGAATGAGCTAACCAGAGCCTTTAAAATTCTCCATTTTAGAATTGAGCATCGTCAAATAGACCCAAGTTAACACAGGAGTTGTGTGTTTCATTGAAATTAAATTAATTATATACCAACAATTTAAGAAACTATTTTTTCCACATCCCTGATACAGTAGAACTAGTTTTGTGAAGTAAAAATGTGAATGTGTTATTCTAAAAACACGTCTTTTAGACTATTTACACTGAACAAATGGTGGCTTGTGACATTACCCTCACACCTGCGAAATTGCTCTTCCTCTTATGGAAATAATGGGTTCTTCTCAAATGGCACCCGAAACAAGCACTGAAAAGAAATTGCGGTTTAAATAAAATGTCTGATTACGAATACCTCTCTATTCTGCAGTTAATATTCTGGGTCCAGAAATCCCACAGATTTGGACTCCAATACCATAAATGTTTTCCATTGTATGAACATTTCGCAAGCCTACGATACTTATAGCATTTCGGTAACCAAACATAACCAACTAAAGCATGTGAAGGCCGCTGTCCAATATGTATTCTTCAAAATCTCACGTTTTCATGAAGACCTCCTAATACAAGAAACCAGAAGGCATTTTGAAACGAAGGGAGATAACTCCCGTTGTTCTATCGAGCGTTGTGAACGATAAGATCGTAACGCACCTTTGAAGTGATAAGACAAAGAAGAGTTGTCGTTGTCAATCTTATTAAAGTCACAGTCAACAGTTTCATCACTAGATTGAATGACAAATATGCTGGTTTGATATTAAAATAATATGTTAAAAATTGTGAATATATAAACGATGTAGCTAGCCGTCGCCACTTCGAAATTCGTTGGTGTCAAAATGAATTGACAGTTCTGCTTTCATTTTGAATTTTTCATTATTGAGAAACCCTATTGAAAAAGAACTTTTCAATTTCCATTCAAAACCGAGACATTCTTCAAAATGCACCGATTTCATTGGCTGATCATTATTAAAGTGAGTAGATATTGCCGATTACTGAGGGTCAGTACGGGGGAGGAGGTTCATTGTCCTCTGCAGACGGCTCCAAATCGTCGTCTTCATCAAAGTCCTGGATGAGCATTTCATACCGAGGGGGCGGGTCATATTTATCGGCGTCATATTGATTTACCGTTCTGTGAAGTTGACTGTGGTCCAGTGCCTCGATGTTAACGATCGTTTGTTGGATGACGTCATTAGATGCTGGTATACTGTCATGTCTGTGTTGATTGTCATACTCATCTAAAACATGAAAATAGTTTTGTTAAATTAATAATAAAAAAAAATCGACAAATTAAAAACGAATCCAGCATAAGCCCAATACGTTGATCAGGTAATTTTTTAGAAGTTGGAGATATTTTTCAAATTAAAATGTAAAGCGGGAAACGATATGGATGATTGAGAAACGGTACATATTTACATAATTGTGTCCTCCTTTTGTTGGAGACATTATATTGTCTTGATGACAAGTCAATGCGTGACATCAAATAGACACGGGTATGGAAATGAAAACTAACCTGCAGTGCGAAGGAAGAGGATTCCCCATGTACAGCTCCATAACCAGCCGACGAGGAATATAGGGGTGAGGAGAATTTGTAACAATCCTATCACAACGTTGGCTGTACAGCTAGCGCACACGTCCGAGCAATTCCGAACGTCATGACGATCACAGCAGCACAATGCAAATCCGGTAAGCATGGTTCCTGTAAAATCAAGCAGATGGTATACAAGCTGTAAGCTTGTTCTCTCATCTCAGTATGTGTATGTGTGATATTGTTGAATATGGAGAGAAAATAATGTTTGAACTAAATAGAAATTGTGATTACCTTCGGCTGTAAACTCGACGTGTAGGTAAAGTTTGTCAAGCAATAAGAAAACAGAGAGTATAATTTATTAGCTCACCTGGCCCGAAGGACCAACTGAACATATGATGTGGTGCGGCATCCGGCGTCTGGCGTCAACTTTTTTTCTTTAAACAACTTCTCAATAACCAATGGACCAAAATATTTTGACATTTGGGTAGTATGTTCCTAGTATGAAGCCAGACAAAGTTTGCAAACAGAAATGACCTTGGCTTTTATCCAAGGTCACATGGGTCAAATTTGTTAACACATATAAATGAAACGACTCCTCCTGAACTCAAATGTCTAGAGGGATGATATTTGACTGGTATGTTACTAGGACGAAGCCAAAGGCAAAGTTTGTTAAAAGAAATGGTCTTGACCTAAATTCAAGGTGATAGGGGTCTTTTTTATTTGATAGCCATGGTAACCATTCAAAATATGCATAAATTATGCAAATGTGATTATTTGTTTTCAAATTTGGCCATTTTTACCTTATATTTACAAGGTGATAGCTGCGGGCCAATTGGGACTCTTGTTTCTTCACATTGTATGCAGAATTTCTTTTTTTTCAATTAAATTTCGGTATCTTCGATTACCTCGGTTTATATTACTTACAGTTATGTCCTTTTGGTACCAACATTTCAACGTAATCTATTTCCAGTGAAAACACAGAAATCAATTTTTCAAGGGCAAGGTGTATCTTCCAGATAACACAAATCATAAGGTTTATGCAAACACAGAAATCAATTTTTTGGTATTTTAACAGGGTGCACGGTTAGTTCAATATGTTCGATTTCACACCAATATACGTATATCACACATGTTGTATGGATATGCTTTGATTTTACTATAATTTAATTATGATGTGATATGTACGTTCCAATAACTGGGGCTGTTTATAGGATATCGGGTTTGAAGAACGTAACCCTAGTCATTACTTAGCGTAAGGTATTACATACACCACTTCTACCTTGGTAAAATTAAACATCGTCTTCTCTAACCTGAGATGTTTTGTTCGTTACGGTTCAATGCATTTAACAAATATGTTTGTGTGTTATTTCACCATGACTGACGCCTGCAAGATTAAGCTGACATTTTTTGACATGTTATTTACAATGTTACATATCCTAGTATAGTATAGCTCTACTTGTTTAGCATGGTTAGGTTGAAAACATCTATTAATAGATTTTTCATATATAGATGATTTTTTTAAAAATGTAGATCAAAATAATTAAAGTACAATATTTCAGAATCATATCTAATTCAAACTAATTGGCGTATTTAATTCCCAAACACTTCTATACAAACTTCATCAGCTTGAATCAGTTGATGCGGCTGGAACCGCTCGACCGTATGTATTCCCGTCAGACTTTGCAACAGGTTTTGCTATTATGTGCATATTTCACAGATTTGTTGGAAATTGAATATGCGATTTAAGGATCAATTTTACTATCTTAGCAGAAAAGTAGTTTGTTATAGAGTAAACAGTAAATAAAATCAGCGTTTGAAGACAAATCTAAGATACTTTTTATCACAGACGATACTCAAACGTTGGCAGCCATTTGGTTGCGCCATTTTCAATTTATGACGTAATGTCATTGTACAATACGCACCAGGGTATATCACGCTAGTGGCATATATGCAAAATTATCATATTTATAGGCAAATCTAGTAGATAAAATTATCATACTTATAGGCAAATCTAGTAGATAAAATTATTTTGCACGTGATCTGTAAATGTATTTTCTATTTAATCTTGAATCAATACTGCTGACCTTAATCGACGCAGTTCACAACAACAATTTTACCTCACTTTGAGAGACACATGCAGTAACAGTAACCCAACTGACCATGACAGACACGTACTTACAACAGCTTGACATTAGACAAGGTTTTGTGACCTTCACCTTGAAATGTGAACAAGGAATATGGATAAAACTAACGTAGTATTGTATTGACAGAAGGGGATACAAATTGTCATGAGAGGACACACTCTTACCAAGACCAGGGAATGCAAAATTTGATACGCAGCAGACGATAGCCACAGGTTTTGGAAGGGCAGCCATCGCCATAGTATGTGTTGGGTTTGTATCTGCAGCGACGTGACCAGGTCGGCCGCCATGTCGAAGCGTCCTTTCATTATGAACACTTCCGGTCCTTGTCGATCCATCTGGTATCAAACTTCCGGCTGGCATATTCACAGTAGTGTCTTGTTCAAAATAAAAGTAACATACAACCAGGTGTACGGGTTTCTCTGAACGTGGCGTCTCGTGTGTGAGATCGATTCCATAACTATGCCATTATGCACACGACCTCATATTTTAAAAAATCCAAATTACATGTGTTTGTTGATAGGTAAGATTATTCTAAATTTGAATACACTTTACCAATTGTTGCACTGTTCTTCGAGGTCCATGGGTGTGTTTTTATTCCAACATGTGATCCAGGTCTAGTTTCTGTCGATGTTCTACATGCATATCCAATGACACCCACATCGATCTCAAATTGACCTTAGATGGGTCAGTTTTCGTACTGGTCAAACATTCAGTTTGATACAACAGTGAGGTTTTTAAATACTTAATAGTAATTGGCCTTGTTATGTGTTGTTTAACTCGGTAAAGATATTCCCTGTTCTAAAATCGTACACTACGCACATAATTGTATGTGTATACAGATGTGTGTAGTGTTTACCTATCAATATACCTGTTCGTGTGCAAAACATCTCTGACCATTTAAATCATTGAAGAAATAAGTACCACACAAATTTCTGTAAATTTTTTTTATAAAGTTCCTGTCTAGATTATGTAAAAAAATGTTAGTTTTCTTTTTTATTAATTACACATATTTAATTAAATGAATACATTTAATTATTCTACAATACATATTAAATAAGTACTTGTATACATGTGTATTTAGAAATGAATACATCGATATGTCGATCCGATGGCCTATTTCGTTAGAGTGGTAAGGTGTATAACAGAAAACGGTTTACTTCCCCTGGCAACTGGTAAACACTTCAAAACAAAACTTTAAACTTCATTGTGTATGTTTACGGGTTATTGGGTCTGAGGTTTATGGTTAACATTAATACCCCTGCAGGGTGTATGTGTCTTTACTTTAAGGATTGTTAGTCACAAGTCGGACAATATAAAGCTAAATATATTGTATAATCTATTTTATCAATATCAACCTTAACGAATAATTTCCAATTAATCTTCGTTCATATCTAATTATTTCAATTATCTTATGATTAAAGTTGACTTACTAATCTTAAATATCTTTTAATTGTTTCTCCATAATACGCATAAAAAGATAAGGAAAGTTCAATACGGTTTAGTGCCAAAGGAAGGCGGTGGTCATTCTTTTCGCAGATGTGTTACCTTCAAGTATGAATTGTCGAATGAATTTAGATAGGACACGAATCTGCAGCGAATATTACATACTAAATTTGACTATCAAAAGTAAAGAAACATGACAATGAAAAACTTTCTGTGGGAGACATTGCTGACAAAGCAAAATTCACGACCTCGAAAATGAGAATCACACCATAGAAGGGAGAGTAAATATTACTGCAAATTAATGCATTTTCGTGTGAACTTCATTTCGCGGTCAGTGTCTGTAAATCTTCCACACGAATTGGCTACTTTAAGGCAGATGTTTAAGTGTCATTAAAACAGCCTTGCTAATTGTATATATAAATATGATAATCACAAACCATACAGTGTGTCAAAACAGCGGATCCCCAGACGAATTTCACGCGATTAATGTATTTGTTGTGAATAAAACCCAGAAGTTTAAAAAAATCTGTATATGGGTAAGTACTTTTAGAACACGGTTAAAGTTCCTTACTGTCCTCAGATTTTCAAAAAATCCGACAACACATTTTTTTTCAGGTTCCACGAGGAGTGTATAAACTGTCCTCTTATCGTCTTTTCGTCTTTGTTTTCAACCTGCATGCTATAAAGAGTGACCCTTTCATTACCTGTCTTATTTAAATAAATAACAGTAGGATCGCATCAGAAAAGTCAGAATGACACTTATTGAAATTCAAACCACACGACTATGAGATGGTTGTTACTTTCAACACGTGTAATTTCTGTATTCATAGAATACGTCGTATGAAATATCCACGGCATTTGAGTCAAAAATGCGGAAAATTCACACTTAACTTTCTTGTATCGCCTGAAGTTACTATTCATGGGTATGTCAAATTTTCGTGGTAGAATTTAGAGTAGTAAACTCTACAATTAGGCGGTCATATGTTGAGTTCTCAGCGCTGGACCAAATTGGCCGAGTCAATTTTTTTTGTGTGAGTCAGGAAAAATCCAATGAGGTATAGATTTATAGTTTGACATGAGTCTCGGGACGAAAAAAAAAATCAGAAAATTTATATTTGGGTCTCTCTGTGTGTTGTTTTGCTATCACAGTCTGTTCCTTCTCGATGCATATATTTGCCCTTTTTTAAAAAAAAAAAAAAAAGGTCTACGGATCACAAGAACATTACTGAGACAGGTAGCAGTTTATAGATTAATCACAAAAACAATATACACACAAAGTAAAGTTTGTTTACAGTTGACATATTCAAAACAGAACAGCCTCGTTCTCTGTGCATGTTGGATTTCATTTCCGGCCAGTTTCGTTGCTATTATTAGAATCAACCAGCCACGCGACGTACATACGATACACGTCCGGTTTGACCACTGGTCCGACTGGAAACCCTATCTCGTCCAGTTTGGCCAATGCCCAAGATAAGTCTTGACCTTCCTGAAGCGCAGCAGCAAGGACCGTGATATAAACTGGAAGATAAGAAGTAACATTTCCGCCGTCAGTAGTGACCAGGAGAGACTGAATATGTTTTGGTCAGTAAGAGAGATCGGTATCAAATCAGATACACATTACCAGTTCATCTGCACACTTGTTTGGGAAATTAAGATAGTTAATGTATATATAACCGAGTTTTCCTTCAAGTTTTGCTTAGAAACAACACCAAAACATCTTGACTAATGCGTACCATTATAACAAAAATGGCGGTTCTATCAAACCATTACAGGTTTTTTCCTGACTAATCAGTATTACGATATCACTGTATGCTTGTTTCGGACAAATATATACTAGACCAACGTATGTTCCAGAATAATGAATGTATGCATGTTCCGGACAAACGTTTACATATTGTATGTACATGTATGTCTGTTCCGGATAACTTAATACATACTGTACACCTGTATACATGTACCTGTTCCGGACTAATCAGTACTCAGTAATATACGTTACCCGCACGTCTAGTGTCCGAACAGTGCACGATCACTGGTTCACTAGTCTTTCCGATCTCCAGAAGTCTGTCTTTGTACTCCGAAAACATTTCACTACTATATGGTCGATTCTCGTCTGAAAGAAATGATGTATTACTTAAAGGGATATTCTACAGAGGTAGGATGTCATTTATTATAATTTTTTTCATAGAATAAATAAATAGATCACTGAAGGATCTATTTATGCACATAAAGAAATTCAATTTACCATATGAACGAACATGTGATATTTACAACTGTAATTTGTAGAAATGCACTCGACCGTGATTGAGTGCGAAAGGACTGCGTTTTATCAGCCAAACAGCGTGAGATAGTTGTGTATGTTTTAAAATCGGCAACAATTACCATAAACGAGGCCGTGGAATAAAGACCTCACCAGAAATTGTATGTGGACATGAAACAGATTTTGTACGTAACCAATACTTAAAATCTATGATCCGGTTTGTCACTTGAGTTCAGAAAGTCTCATTTTATTTATTGATCATGGGTATTGACCTTAAGAAAGATGTTCAGATCCTAACAATAATTTTATCAGTAACTGGAAAATGTTCAAAGGGTACTTAACGGACAGAAATGTTCAAACTTGTGCAAAATATCTCTTTTGTCATGTTTATGGATTTCATCACTGTCTATCAAGAACACTGGTACGACACGTCTTGTACCACTAAACCAAAGGGAAGTGAGGGTATGTTTAGTGTTTACCACTGACACAGAGGATGGTGATGGTATGTTTAGTGTTTACCACTGACACAGAGAGAGGTGCTGGTATGTTTAGTGTTTACCACTTACACAGAGGGAGGTGATGGTATGTTAAGTGTATACCACTTACACAAAGGGAGGTGATGGTATGTTTAGTGTTTACCACTGACACAGAGGGAGGTGATGGTATGTTTAGTGTTTACCACTTACACAGCGGGAGGTGATGGTATGTTAAGTGTATACCACTTACACAGAGGGAGGTGATGGTATGTTAAGTGTATACCACTTACACAGAGGGAGGTGATGGTATGTTAAGTGTATACCACTGACACAGAGGAAGGTGATGGTATGTTAAGTGTATACCACTTACACAGAGGGAGGTGATGGTATGTTAAGTGTATACCACTTATACAGATTAAAGTGATGGTATGCTTAGTGTATACCACTTACACAGAGGGAGATGATGGTATGTTAAGTGTATACCACTTACACAGAGGGAGGTGATGGTATGTTAAGTGTTTACCACTAACACAGAAGGAGGTGATGGTATGTTAAGTGTATACCACTGACACAGAGGGAGGTGATGGTATGTTAAGTGTATACCACTAACACAGAGGGAGGTGATGGCATGTTAAGTGTTAACCACTCACACAGAGGGAGGTGATGGTATGGTTATTGTATACCACTTACCCAGAGGAAGGTGATGGTATGTTAAGTGTATACCATTAACACAGAGGGAGGTGATGGCAGTGTATACCACTTACACAGAGGGAGGTGATGGTATGTTAAGTGTTAACCACTCACACAGAGGGAGGTGATGGTATGGTTATTGTATACCACTTACCCAGAGGGAGGTGATGGTATGTTAAGTGTATACCATTAACACAGAGGGAGGTGATGGTATGTTCAGTGTATACCACTTACACAGAGGGAGGTGATGGTATGTTAAGTGTTAACCACTCACACAGAGGGAGGTGATGGTATGGTTATTGTATACCACTTACCCAGAGGGAGGTGATGGTATGTTAAGTGTATACCACTTACATAGAGGGAGGTGATGGTATGTTTAGTGTTTACCACTTACCCAGAGGGAGGTGATGGTATGTTAAGTGTATACCACTTACACAGAGGGAGGTGGTGGTATGTTTAGTGTTTACCACTTACACAGAGGGAGGTGATGGTATGTTAAGTGTATACCGCTTACAAAGAGGGAGGTGATGGTATGCTAAGTGTTTACCACTTACCCAGAGGGAGGTGATGGTATGCTAAGTGTTTACCACTTACCCAGAGGGAGGTGATGGTATGTTAAGTGTATACCACTTACCCAGAGGGAGGTGATGGTATGCTAACCCTGCCTTCTCTACCGCTTGTCGTTCGAGTCCTTCGTTGTATCCAACACCATCACCAAACTCCAGGGAATTCCTTTGTTCGTAATTCACAGGCGATGTAGCGGATATATAAGTTACCATTTTGTCAAGGTCTATCCGAGTGTGTGATAGCGTTTCCGGTGACTGGCGAGGTCCGATCGTAACATTTCCGTATGTTGGAGTTCCGTCAACAATGTTCAGCAGTGTGACGCTTTCTTGTGACGGTTGGTTATGGGTTAATATCCCTAAACGCAGGTTGACAATATGTTTGAAGCCGGTACTTGCAATAGCTGGGAGATGCGTGGAGTGTATTTGCCCTCCAACAAACCAGTTCCTGTAAATGAAATGCACCAACCAATAGTCTGACCATTCTACAGGGTTCGCTGTGGTTCTCGGAAACACTGGCGGTACAGGACTTCCGGTGATTTTTGACACGACGTGTGAAGTGTTATATGCCGTGAAGTCTAAACCAAGGGATGCTGTTGCTTTGTAAAAGACATCACTTGTAATTTTTGGACGGAAGCTAGGATCTAATCTTGTTTGGTTTGCTAAATACATCAAAGTAGCAAATGTGATAGTGTGGGCGCGATGGCAATGTAGCAGAATGGGTTTCGGCATTTCCGTGATGGCAATGGTCAGTTTCTCGACTGTACTTACTTTGTACCAGCCTTCTTCGGAATCTAAAATGGCTCGGAATTCCATATTAAGACCATTGGTTATTAATCTTGCCCCATCTGTCGTCAAGAATTTGTCCAAGCCCAACTCTCCAGGAGAATCGAACCGGAAAAGCGTAATTATACTTCTGAAACCGCCCTCGGACGCATACTTAATCTGTCTGTCCGTCATTCGTCCTGTCAAATACAGGTCGGGAGACATCTTTCGGATCCACCAAAGTTTCTGAAGAGAATTAGGATTAACCCGGTCCGGAAAAACATTATGGAAAAGAAACCGTTCCTGTATACCAGCTTCAGCGTTCGTGTAAATAGCGATACACACAAACACTATATTATAAAGAACAGACGCCATTTGGGAAAAGTTCGTTGTGACTTTGACGATAGCGACCTGGAGATAGGAGGCCTATCTTATCACCTTCCCGTAAGATATCGTCAGGGAACGCCAGGGAAAGGAATACTCGCAAAGAATTTGATGTGAACTTCTCTATCGGTACGCAGGATGTCGTTCGTTCAATTTGGTTTGTACTGTTCATATACATTTCCTTAATGTTATATTTTTCTGCTTTTCAAAAGTCGATTTCAAGATCAACGAGAATGTGTATTTTGAAGTTAAAGCGATACAAAGATAGATTCGTTTTTATCCCCAAAGCGCCCCACAGTTATAAATTGTAATGAAATACTTTATTTTTGGTAGTTTGTAGTTACCAGTGTTGCTTTGAACAAAGCACATATTAGTATTCATAAACATTTTTATCATTCTTGTCGACTGTCTTCTCAACGTCGCGGGAAGAAACCGACTTTTCCTTTTTTTCCCAAATTTTACAAATTTAAACTGTGACAAAAATGAAACTGAAGACGAATTTCGCTCGTTATCTTCATTTTCTGAAAACTCAGAATTAAGAAAAAATGGTTAAAATCCATCATTGGTACATGTATCAGCCATCGGTCTGATACACTGAATACACGTAACTCAGAAGTATTTAGTAGGTTACGGAAATATATTGGAGAGACATTGAAGTACCTGTCAAATGCTGTGATTTTATATGTTAATTGCTGGCAATTTTTCAATGAGTTATCTGTGATAATATTGTTCTACACCGTGTCTTGTATAATCCTGACGACGACGATGATGATGATGACGACGACGACGACGATGATGATGATGATCATGATGATGATGTATTGTATATGTACACACACATATGTAAATAATAATGATTAATTAAAGTTAAACTTGATAAATTGTTTTTTATTATACCACAAGAACGTAGTACTACAGTATAAATACACAAACAATAACAATAATACTTTTGTTTGTTAATCATGTTATAATGTTTACAAATGTCGGCTGGTAGTCATAGACAAGGCCGACCATAAAAGCCTAACATAACAGGTTACACCCACAACCGTATAATTTCAGCATTAAAACAAAGATCCTGTTCGTCTTTCTAGCTCATTTTGCTTTTGAACTTTCATACCTGTTGTCCCTCTCTCAAGAAATTCTCATTTTTTCCACTCTCTCTTTTATATTCATTTGCTTTCCGTTTTCCGTTCAACGTTTCGTACATAACACATTTATTAGATTCAGAAGTCGTTTCCAATTTAGTAAATTCTAAAAATTAATATACAGGGTTTTTATAATAAGTCTTGTAACGATTTAACGAAGTCGTGTCGCAATCGTCTTTCTACTGGGAAAAATTAAATATATGTACAGAGATTCAAATAAATATTTTAAAACAAAATCAAAGATATTCACTTAAAATGTATATATGAAATGCATTGAAAAGTCTTACTATTACATTGAAAAACGTTCGCTTGTTCAGGGGCGATAAACAACTGGTCCAATATTTTCTCACTCCACAAATTCCCGCCATTCAAATAATTAAAGTTATTCTTTATCGGCAAAGAAACTTTGAAGCCACCCCCGCCCACACCCATCCCCTCCCATTTTGCGGTGATAAAAAGTACCAATATATAGACAACACAACCAACTGGTGAACATAGTTAAGCTCCCCCTAACGGTAATAAAAGTAACAATATACATTGTATTGAGAACATGTCTACTGGCGGACAAAGTTTAGCCTCCCCCTTGCAGTGATAAAAGTTCAAATATACTGACAACACATTTAACAGGTTGACATATTAAAGATTCACCTAGCGGTGATAAAAAGTACAAATACATACACAACACAGCCAACTGGTAAACATATATAAGCTCCCCCTAGCGGTGATAAAAATACCAATATATTTACTCCCCAGCCAACTAGTGGACATACTTAAACTCCCCCTAGCGGTGATTAGAGTATAAATATATTGACAACCCAGCCAACCAGTGGATATACGTTAGCTCCCCCTAGCGGTGATTAAAGAACAAATATATTGAGAATACGCCAGCTTGTTGACATCGTTTAGTGTTTCCAAGAGACGATGTGCCTGAAATACATACAGTGTCTGTACGTTTGTGTTGCGATGTTTTGATGATGCTGTGAACATTCAAAAGACAGCCAACAGAATCGTTCCATGACAATGACGTCATCGTTCCTTGACAATGACGTCATACACTGAATGAAAATGTCACACTCTACTGAACTGAATTACACGAGAATCGAAAAGTTCTAAGATAAGCATTTTGTGCAATATTTGGCAGTTTTTGCATAGGAATGTATTTATTTTTAATTTTAAACCAAAAAGGTCTCATATTATGTCTTTCATGTTGGTGAATAAGGGGGAGGCGGTTCCATAGGAGCTGAGGGCTCCATCCTATTTTCAGAGTAGGGAGGAACTTGTGGAGGGGCTGGAGGGGGCATCTTTGGGTTAGGCTCAGGAGGAGGATATCCTCCCATGTGTGGCCCTGGCTGCGGCTGGTAGGGTTGAACGGGCGGTTGATATGGTTGAACGGGCGGTTGATAAGGCTGAGCCGGTGTTTGGTACGGCTGAGGCTGACTGTAGGGTGCTTGTTGACTCCCTGGTGGGTAACCGCCAGGTACTTGTTGGTAAGGGTACGTCTGATTAGGGGCAACACCTTGCTGTCCCGGCATTCCATATTGATTTCCATGGATTACCTGTTGCTGTGGGTTGACGGGATACGACGCTGTTTCGCCATGTGCTGGGTTGTCGTGGTAATATTCAGCTGAAATGAAAATAAGTACATATGTACTAAATAAAAGCATATAATTAAACTACATATGAAATTTGAGAGCGGTCCATTCAGTATTTCCCTTGAAATAGTCATAACAAACCAGAACTGTCGAAATTCAAGATGGCCGTTTGTCGGCCATTTTGTTTTTCTGATCAGTCAGGATGGAAACTAGGGACCAAGAGGAATTTACCGTACATATGAAATTTGAAAATGATTTCAATCAATATCTATAATAAGAAATCTCATTTGCTATCCAAAGCTAGCAAAGTAGATATTTTCTGATACTTACACGACATGCCTATCATCATGACGCCCCAAACACATGACCAGACCCAGCCAATGATGAGGGCTGTAAGAATAAGCTGAAGGAGCCCGATAAGAATACTAATGGTACAGCTCCCACACTGCTCCCCGCATCCCATATCCTCGTTCCGAGAGCAGCAACACACGGACACTCCCGCCACAATGGTTCCTGTATTGACGAAGGTAGCACTTGATTGGTTAAAATAGTTGTACTCGGACTGTCTGTACTTGTTACTATACTCGCTAAACTTGATATGTTCTTACTTAAAAATGCCTCTTTACCAAAGGCTGCTTTTACAATCTAATTGAGTTCTGAAACATTCCTAAAAAAACAAGCTGAAAGGTGTACGTAAACTAGCGTACATGTAACACGTAAACCATTCAAAACCTAAAATAGATTCTCAAAGAGAGGCTGCAACTGTCTTATCAATAGATTTCGGTTTTTGAATGTATAGGGGATAAACATAAAAACAGTAATTAAAGTCTCCACATGGGTTGCCGAATCTTCATTCAGCTGTTTTGCTGTAAAAGGTTCGTAATCAAGAGATCTGGTAGGATTTCTCACACGGATATGAAGTATGTTTGAATTACGTAAATCTCATACTTAAAAGCATTGGTCATGTATTATTTCTGTCTTACTGATAATTGATTTAAATGCATTCAGAGAAGAAGAGTTCCTCATAGAAAAATCTATGGCATATCACTTTTTTGTTGTTGATGAGAAAAAGAATTTCGCATGCGTAAGAGATACACTGAAGTTCTAGTGATTGGAAACCACGTGACACTTAAAAGATTTATGTTCAGATTAAATGTCACATCTTAAATAATCAACGATTTAATTGTTTCATTACTTATCTAATGGTCACTAACGAAACAAGATAGAAAAAATATGGTGAAAGTTTTAATATAAAGTAATTTCCTTTTTCGGTTAGAAAAAAAAGATGATGGCAATTGATGTCTCGATCAAGGTACCTTTGGCGTCAAGAGCGGAGAGCTTATCACTGTGCTATCGTAACGTTTCTCATAATGAAGTGAAAATTTAGAAATCTTATTACTATGTAGTTTTCTCCAACTATTTAACATATTGTGTGTTAGTATTTGTGTGGAATGCAAAACATGTGTCAAGAAAAACAAAGTTGACAATGATGTGGTCAGTATATTAATGAATAATTATGATAAAATGGCAAAAATTCAAATATCTCCATATCATCAAGCCCTGCACCACTACACTAAAAATCACCCAAATAATATACATTACACAAGCGTCGTCTTTTACAGGGGAAACAAAGTATCTATTCATTCGTATTTATTCTGTAAGTGTAGGTTAAATGTCGTCCGACAGATAACCTGTATTACACTGTAAAGTGACGTATGCAGTATGTGTTTCACATTTTCTATGAATTATGTATAATCGTTACAAAAACCCATCACACGTTCAATGATGAAGTTCAGCCGTAAATAAAGGGAGGTCACTCTAACTATATTACCCATTTGTTACAGGAAGTAAGTGTTGTTTATCAATATGGTGAACTTCTTGTTTCTTAAGACCTGTTTTCTGCCTGGCGTTTGTTAGGGTATTCCATAAGGGAACACATTTTACAATGCAGGGTCAATAATAGGTAATTTAAGCGAATGGAAGCTGGTTAAACAGTGCCCAGAGAAGATCAGTGTCTATTTACAGTACCAGTAACCATATGTGAATGAATGAGTGGTACACAGGGCGTTGGTGTTTTTAACGATTTTCTACGTATCTAAAAATAAATATCATATTTACCTAGTTATATCGTTATAGACATGTATTTGTCAAATCTTACATACCCAATCCAGGAAATATGAAATTCAGCACACAGCATAGTGTCGCCAGAGGCATGGGCAGGGCAGGAATGTACATCCTTTTGTTCTTACCCCGGGCCCGGAGGGTCCCATCACCACTACCGACACCCATGTATCCCGAGGGGTCGGGTTACTCTGTTTGAAAACACCACATCTGACACGACGTGCTTGGTATGGCGGTCGTTTGTACGTGTGAGAATGAGAAAGCGTGTTTACCGTAGCATCATGCGATAAGTATGTTAGTGTGCTTATGTGTACAGGGCCTGGCTCTACATAAACATATATGTGTGTATATATACACACACCACAAACTGTTACCCGGGGCGTACCTGCCAATTCATCTTTACAGCTACAAGATAAATTCGTATAGTTTATATAATAATACATTGTCATTACATGACATGAACTTTTCTTAGACTTGCACATGCCCGTTTCCTTTCCAATGGTAATATATACTAGATACAAATGGGTTGATGGGTTGGGAATGAATGCCAAAAGCCTATGATGAATGGCGATACTACGTTAGAATGATGAGCATGGGCGATTCAACATTAAAGTAAAATTGTAATATATTTACTGTTAAAGAATAGATTTCTTTATTCTAGTTTGTATTTTACATCAAGAGAGTTCATTCAAATCATTGTACGCGTACATCGAACTACTGCCATACAAAATTTATGACATTTTAATATTCATATTTAAAACTTGTTTGTGACGTCGTTCATGTGATGTTCTTTTTTGTATTTTACATGCTTTTTTGTGACTGTTATACAGTATCTATGTTACCTATGACTGTGTTTTTAGGTGACTTTCTCGTTGGTCAGTCAGTAATCAGATTGTTTAAATATCGCTTAAAACACGGCAGTTAAAATCCATGAATTGAAAAAGGTGGGATTTGGATTGGAATTTTCTGATCCATTATCGGAGGATACGGCGAAAACTTTTCACAGAAGTAAACTAAGCAGACCAAAAGCTTACACTGTTCACTTCCTCATATCAATGTTATTCACCACATATATCACAGTTTAAGGTAACAACACTGGTATTTCTGGGTATTTTGTCATCTTGGGTCTGTTATATGTGACAATAACGTTGATTTGGCGGGCCTTGATATATACCTTACTCTTACGTATATTGTACAGTTTTCGGTTTATCCCCGGAACAGATCTCTAAAAATAACACGTTATTATTGTCTGTTATTTGAATTTTATGTCAGACAGTTAATATACATTATAGTTATTTTCAGAAAGTGAGTTTATTGTTATAAATGCAAAGTAGTGGCTTCGTTTTAATGCAAGAGCGGAATTTATCCCAGTTGTTATGTGGTTTGTTCCGTAGTGATGCACCTTGTCACATGGATGGAGGGTCGATTTAAGCTATTTTGAATTCATTGGATTAGCTTATGTCAAGGATTTGTTTCAGAAACATTTCGTTGCTGTTTGACCAAAACTCCAGACACTAGTCATAGTGCATGGTAGTGAGTTGTTATACTAGCGATCGACGGCCTGTCATTGTCGAATTCATATCTTACCCCGGTCCCTGATGATTGGTATGGTAACTACCCCGGTCTCTGATGTTTGGTATGGTAACTACCCCGGTCCCTGATGATTGGTATGGTAACTACCCCGGCCCCTGATGATTGGTATGGTAACTACCCCGGCCCCTGATGATTGGTATGGTAACTACCCCGGCCCCTGATGATTGGTATGGTAATTACCCCGGCCCCTGATGATTGGTATAGTAACTACCCCGGCCCCTGATGATTGATATGGTAACTACCCCGGTCCCTGATGATTGGTATGGTAACTACCCCGGTCCCTGATGATTGGTATGGTAACTACCCCGGTCTCTGATGATTGGTATGGTAACTACCCCGGCCCCTGATGATTGGTATGGTAATTACCCCGGCCCCTGATGATTGGTATGGTAACTACCCCGGTCCCTGATGATTGGTATGGTAACTACCCCGGCCCCTGATGATTGGTATGGTAACTACCCCGGCCCCTGATGATTGGTATGGTAACTACCCCGGCCCCTGATGATTGGTATGGTAACTACCCCGGTCCCTGATGATTGGTATGGTAACTACCCCGGTCCCTGATGATTGGTATGGTAATTAACCCGGCCCCTGATGATTGGTATGGTAACTACCCCGGCCCCTGATAATTGGTATGGTAACTACCCCGACCCCGAATGTTTGGTAATAACTTCCGCATATATCTATTACTGTACCACATCAATCGGATGCGAATCTTTGTAAAGTACGACCTCGTACGTCTGGACACAGTCTGTACTGTATACACCGAAACCTCTATAATCTGGACACTTTTTGTCCTGTATATAGTAAAACCTTTTTTGTCCTGTGTACAGTAAAACCTCTATAATCTGGACACTTTTTGTCCTGTGTACAGTAAAACCTCTATAATCTGGACACTTTTTGTCCTGTGTACAGTAAAACCTCTATAATATGGATAGCTTTTGTTCTGTGTACAGTAAAACCTCTATAATCTGGACACTTTTTGTCCTGTGTACAGTAAAACCTCTATAGCGTGGATAGCTTTTGTTCTGTGTACAGTAAAACCTCTATAGCGTGGATACTTTTTGTCCTGTGTACAGTAAAACCTCTATAATATGGGCATTTTTTGTTCTGTGTACGTAAAACCTGTGTACAGTAAAACCTCTATAATATGGGCATTTTTTGTCCTGTGTACAGTAAAACCTCTATAATATGGGCATTTTTTGTTCTGTGTACAGTAAAACCTCTATAATATGGGCATTTTTTGTCCTGTGTACAGTAAAACCTCGTTCGTTCGGACACTTTTTGTCCTGTGTACAGTAAAACCTCTATAATATGGGCATTTTTTGCCCTGTGTACAGTAAAACCTCGTTCGTTCGGACACTTTTTGTTCAATGTACAGCAGAAGCTCGTTAGTAGGACCCTGTTTGTATGGATACTTTCTATTCCAGGATACACAAGAACTTCTTTAGTTGTAAATGGATATATTAAAATATTTCATTGTCAGTTTTCGAAACATCGTTGACTTCATCAATCGGAATACCTCACCCCGATTCCAGTACATATTACCTTAACCAAAAATCCGAATTCTTACTTTATCCGCTTCGAATGCTGTTGCTATAACTATTAGGAATGTGTAATTTTTTTATCATTAAATGAGAAGCCAGCAAATTTTGTCCTCAAGGCCAGGCACTTTTTCTCCTCGCCAGTCATTTATTCTTTACTTTTTCAAAGTGAATTAATCTGTGATTTTCCCCTATAATAAGAACTGCTACACGATATATATATTAACTGCGGTTGTTGATGTTGTTTGAAATATATGCAGGTACTCCCTTGATACCTAGTTATGTCCGTTTGATTTTGGTACTGATCATGAAAACAAAATGGCTGACAGGCGGCCATTTTGGATTTTGGCTGTGAAAGTCTGTTATCACTTACTCTTGAGAAGTTCAGTGCACTAAGTTCGGTTTTTCTCATACTTGTAGGCTCCCGTTGGTCGCTAGTTATGCCTTTTGATTTGGGGACGGATCAGGAAAACGAACTGGCCGACAGAAAAACCATCTTGGATCTAATACTTAAAGGCTATTGTTGCTATTTCTTAAGTGGAATTTTCAAATTTCATGTAATTATGATCCAAAAACAGAGGCAAGAGTAGAAGAAAATAAGGAAAGTTACAATTTGAAGGAGAAACATGACCAAGCAATGGTAGGTGCCAAGATCTATGAACCCTCGTTTACTTTGAAAAAATAGTTGTAGCATGTTGATATTGGAAATTCTATGAAATCATCACACCAACCAGGAACAAGATCAGACTTGGACGATAAACAAGTGAATATTGCTGTTACCAAATAGAAGATGGCGAATTATGGGTACCGCGAAAACGATTGTTATGTGTGGCAAAATGGTTCAATACATTATTATTTGTAATGTGTACAATATCACGTGTCAAAAACACAAAAGAATATTCACAAGATACACTGGTATATATAAGGTTATCCGTTCAAAAGAAACATTACAAATCGTGTTCCGTGTTGGTGGTATTACCTGTAATACAGTAGAGACACAATCATTACGAGGCTGTAAAGTCGCTTTTGCCTATCTGATGATATTTCTGTCCACACTGAGTATACAAATCTGGACGGGGAATATATCCACTACATATTGACCACATGATACGAAACACAGATTGTTAAGCGTCACACACATTTTCGTTGTGTCGGAGTCATGCATACACCAAGTCGAAAATACATATTTCAAACAAATATCAGCACCAATATATTTTCATATCACAACAACGTGTAAAAATTCCATTGATCATATTCGACAAAATGTTTGTATCCTACAAAAATACTTGCCGACTCAATGAGCATCTTCCAGAGGAAGATGAATTCAACTTCCGTTCCGATTCATTTCGGAATCATCAAAATGTTTTAACAATCAAGTCCTTTAAATTCCAGGAAATTGTCCACATATATATGTGCCACAGTCTTCATTTCCTTGTAAAGGCTTACATAAGTTGTTGCAGCATCCAGACCAAGTCGACAAAATCAGAAGGAATCATCCAATCAACGTAAAAATTCCATCTCGAGACAGACAAGTTATTGTAAATAATCTTAAGGTTTGTCAACCTACATCTCAGAAGATTAATATTTTGTACACCGGAAGTGACTATATGTGGTCCTGCATTTCCGCTTCCATCTCGAGATGTTCACTGTAACACACGTCACACACAATGCAACTCTCTCCTCCTTGAAATGGAATACGTTTTGTATAGCAATGTCGACAAACAATATCGGAACACCGTCTACAGGAAAACTGAAAAACACACAAAAGATAAACGTTTTTCTTTTGTTAACAAAGTACGACTTCAGTGGCGAAAAAATTAACAGGGGTAAACGAAGGTAAATCAGACATCTGACAAAGAGAATGAGAATTTGATAATTAAATTTAATTTTACATATATACACAATGTCATTTCCTGTTAAAAGAGGATCTAAGATATCAAGCATGACGTCATAAACTTACCCGGTGTTCTTCTGTAACAAAATCTTTCTGGCACACATTACACCGCGTGGCCGACGAAATGTTCGGAACTTCATTAGTTTCTTGCAAATCTTGTGTAGGAGGCTGTAACGTATAAAATGTCATTATTAACAAAATATCTTA